TTTTTTTTTTTTTTTTTGAGACAGAGTCTCACTCTGTCGCCCAGGCTGGAGTGCAGTGGTGTGATCATGGCTCACTGCATCCTCAACCTCCCCTGGCTCTGGTGATCCTCCCACCTCAGCCTCCTGAGTAGCTGGGATTACAGGCACACGCCACCATACCTGGCTAATTTTTGTAATTTTTGTATAGATGGGGATTTGCCATGTTGCCCAGGCTGGTCTTGAACTCCTGAGCTCAAGTGATCCCACCCACCTTGGCCTCTCATAGGGCTGGAATTACAGCATGAGCCACTGCACCTGGCCTTAAATAAACTCTTAAATATAAATTAAATGGTAGAGTTTGGAAGGCTTTATTCTTTGTCTAGTTCCAGGAGTATACATTCTCCAGGCAGGATTGTATGACTTTTGGGTAGGCAGGGGAGCTTGTTGGCATCTTCTTAAAATTCAGGAAATTAACCGGAGCTTAGTCTGTTGGACAATGTATGAGGATAAAGCCAACAGAGCAAATGTAGGCAGATTCAAAACTTTTTCTTGGAAAATTATTTTAAGTCTACTCTAACACAAGGATAAAAAAGGTAACAGAAGTCCTATTTTTTCCAAATAAATACATTTTTTCCAAATAAATGATATTTATAGAACATAAAATTAACCATTTTAAAGTGAACAACTCAGTAGTACTTGGTACACTTATTATAATGTGTAACTACAACTACTACAATCTAGTTCCAAAACATTTCCATCACTCCAAAGTGAAACCCCTTACCTACTAAGCCATTTCTCTCCATTTTCCTCTTCCCCAGCCCCTGGCAGCTACCAATCTGTTTTTTCTCTCTACAGATTTATCTATTCTGAATATTTCATATAAAAGGAATCATACAATATGTGACTTTTTGAGTCTAGCGTCTTTCACTTAATATGTTTTAGAGGTTCATGCATGTTGTAGCATGTATCAGTACTTCATTCCTTTTTATGGACGAAAAATATTCCACTGTATGTATATTATCACAATTTGTTTATCCATTCATCTACTGATGGACATTTGGGCTGTTTCTACCTTCTGACCATTGTGAACAACACTGCTACAACATGTGTGTGCATATACTTGCTCAACTTCGGTTTTCAGTTCTTTTGGGTATATATCTAGGTGTGAAACTCAGAATCATATGGTAATGTTAAATATTTTGAGGAACAGCCAAACTGTTTTCCACAGCACTGAATCATTTTCTATTTCCACTAGCAATATACAAGGGTTCTAATTTCTCTATATCCTTGTCAACACTTGTTATTACTTTTAATAGTCATCCTACTGAGGGTGAAGCAGTATCGCACTGTGGTTCTGATTTTGCATTCCCTAATGACTAATGATGTTTAGCATCTTTTCATGTGTTTGTTGATTATTCAAATATCTTCTCTGTAAAAATGTCTATTCAAGTCTTTTGCCCATTTTTAAATTGGGTTATCTTTTTACTGTTGAATTGTAAGATATAAACTCTGGATACTAGATCCTTATTGGATATATGGCTTGGATATACATATATACACTTTCTCCCACAGTCCTACAGTTTTATACCAGTGGTTTTTAACCTTTTTCTAAAGCATAATTCTTTTTTTTCAAATACATCTTTATTTGTCCTGTATTTCTACATACAGAACTCCAATCAACTATATAAAAATGGAGCTTCTCCAATAGAAGTAGAAAAATCTGGAACCTTGACCACTTGGCATCTTACTATAGCAAATTACAGAACACTTTCACAAAGCAAATGAAACACAAATAAAACATGTTTTCCATAGCACTGAATCATTTTGTAAACATTTTGATTTGTACATCAAAAACTTTGGTCATTCTGATAAAATATATTTGACCTGTAGGGTATGGGTACCAGGAAAAACTTTTTTTTTTTTTTTTTTTTTTTTTTTAAAGACAGGGTCATGATCTTGGCTTACTGCAACCTCTGCCTCCCATGGCTCAAGCGGATCCCACTTCAGCACCCCTAACCCAAGTGGCCGGGACCACAGGCGCGTGCCACCACACCCAACTAATTTTTGTATTTTTTGTAGGGATGGGGTTTTGCCATTTGCCCAGGCTGGTCTCAAACTCCTGGGTTAAAGTGATCCACTCGCTTTGGCTTCCCAAAGTGTTGGAATTATAGGTGTGAGCCACTCTGCCTGGCCGAGGAAGGACTATTAACGTCCACTTGCCCCAAATCTGTATCAGGCCTACTAACAAGGTAGAAGGACTTGGGTGTACCTATTCCCCTGCCGTTTAGAAATAATAAAATCTGAAAGAAGGATCTCGAACTACACAACAAATTGTCATAAAATGTAGCAGAAGAGGGACTGCCACAGGTTGGTTAATGGATACAAGAATAAAGCTATACAGGAAGAATGAGTTCTAATGTTTTATAGCACTATAGTATGACTATAATTAACAATTTACTGTATATTTTCAAATAGCTAGAAGAGCAGATGGTGAAAGTTTCCAATACCACATAATGTTAAATGTTTGAGGTGATGGATATGCTAATTACCCTGATTTGATCATTACACATTGTATATATGTATCAAAATATCACACTGTGCCCCATAAATAACACACTGTATCCCATAAATATATACAATTATTGGCAATTAAAAATAATAAAACATAATCTATTGTAGCATACCATTGAAAGATTTTATCACTGTATAATTATAGTTAAGTGAGTTATTAGAAATATATGGAAAGGTGTTGAAGTTTAAAAAAAGCACAGGGATTTAAGCATTTATTTTGTGGGAGTCTAATATTCCATTAGAAATCCATTTAAGAAAAATAATGCAGGATCAACAATTTGAAAAACATAGTGAGCAGTGGGAATTATTTGTACTGAGCCATCACCACCACACATGGTCCCATCACATAACCAATGATAATGGAAACCAGGAGATGATGACTGGGATTGGCTCTCATGTACGGTAACAGAAAAGAAAGCTATCTGGCTCCAAAAGTCTTCGTAATAATAAAGATATACAAAACTCAACTTAGTTAACTGGTCTACACATATGGGAAAAACAATCCTCTCAATCATAAATTAGTACTCAAATAAACTTCAAGTATGCTTAAAACAAAACCCCAACCAAATAAAAAATCAGAATTAAACAAAATTTCCAGAATGTCAACTGTGTACTATTAGCAACCATAGAGCATCCACAAAATGCAAAGAACTTTCAAAGTAAACTAGTCACTGTCAATAGTAGAAGTACTATTTGCTTATCCATTTCTCACATCATCTAATGACTATTTCTAAAAATATTTCAAACTTGGGTTAAAAACAACTTTGTGAAAATGCTTTTACCTCTTCTTCCTCAATTTCAGAGGTGTTAAGTTCATGTTTTTGACAGTAAGGACCCTCTTTCCAAGCTTCAGTATCACCACAGTCACAGAAACCTCCACCTCCTGATGTTGTCATCTTGGAAAAAAATTGTAAAGTATCTTGTCAATAAATATTTACTGAGGGCTATCAGATAATAAATAAGAACATCAAGTGCTAAGGAAATACCATTGCTTAAGTGTTTAATTTCTTTGGAGGCATAAAATTAGATAAAATGCCAAACCTCTCAATGTTTTAAAGTTTATTTTAAATAAGCTTATAAACTAATCGAAGTGATTTCAAAATAAAATAAGCTACTTTGTAATGTTAGCTACAGATATTTAAAAGAGGATATGTTTGCCTATACGACTTCCTTAATTAGGAAAATCATGAGGATCACAAGGGTTTTCCTGCTGGGTTTTGGTTAAATTGGTATAATGCTGGTATCTACGCTACAGGTTGTGACGCTATAAACACAATAGACTCGGGGGTTATACAGATTCCTATAGCTGTTGTCTCCTAGAGTCTAAGAGTGCTGCATTTGCTTTGGAGAAATTAACCAACAAAGACTATAGAAATAGTTAATTTTTCTTCTCTAATACTCCCTAAATAGCCACTCTTTGAAAGGACAGGTAATAGGGGCTCAGGAAATACAAAAGTAGACTGCCTAATAATAAAAACTCTTTATCACCTGCAAGGTTCAGGAATTATTCACACTTCCTTAAGACAGGGCAATGATTTGAGAAATCTGGCACCACAGAACCAGAATTAATAATTGGTGGACTAGAAATTCTGCTTTTCTTAAGATAGTATGAGGAAGAGCTTACTAACAGGTATTAGATACAGCAAATTTTAGAATAAGCCCTCTTATATTCTGCCCAAAGTAAGTATTTGTGTTATACATCACAATATAATTAATGTAACCCCATAAATGACAACTATTCCCAGGGAATGCAAAGATATATGCCAAGAAACGTGGGTAGGAGTCATTTGGAAAATGACACGTGCTTGTTCCAGTTACCAAACATAGGCAGAACAGCTTAAAGGAAACTGGGCCTCTTTTACTGATTTATGAGACTGATGAACAGACAATGTAAATAGCCCAATTTTGTAGCTGGTTATTTATTTATTTTTATTTTTTATTTTTGGATGGAGTCTCGCTCTGTTGCCTAGGCTGGAGTGCAGTGGCACGATCTCAGCTCACTGCAACCTCCGCCTCCCAGGTTTAAGCGATTCTCCTGCCTCAGCCTCACGAGTAGCTGGGATTACAGGCATGCGCCACCATGCCTGGCTAATTTTTGTATTTTTTGTAGAGATGGGGTTTCACCATGTTGGCCAGGATGGTGTTCATCTCCTGACCTCATGATCCGCCCGCCTTGGCCTCCCAAAGTGCTGAGATTATAGGAATGAGCCACCGTGCCCAGCTCTGTAGCTGTTTTAGTTCATTATTATGAACGCTTGGGTAGAGTAAATAAAAACAAACAGAAGGAAAAGTTCTGACCCAGGACAGCTTCTGAATTAAGAATAATATTAAAATAATCCTTCTCTACCATTCTATTTTACGATTAGGGTGAAAAGTTCCATCTAACAGCAGTTCCCTACCCTTTGAATCTCCATGGTCTGTCTTCAATTTCCAATAGAGGAACCAGGACAGGATTTGGAATAATCTGTATTTATCTGTGTCCCTGACTTAAAAAGCAAACAAACATACCTGATTTTTGAAAAGTACTGACAAAATTACAGCAGTGAAAAAATAATAAACTGGTGGGTCTTATGTGCTGGAGTTGGGTCTTCTCCTACATTGTAATAGATACCTCTTTAATAAACATTAAAAAATAGCAAAAACAAACTAGTTGAAAACCAATGCAGAAGAGCTGATATCTCTATTATGTTTTTTAAATCATATGCTCCAAGAAGTGTGGATTCATAATTTGTTTCTACACTGCCATCCTATGTCCAGTGGTATTTAAATAAACATACTGTTTAAACCCATCCCCCCCATTTTAGTGTTAAATCTTTGCATTTTGAAAAGGAAGAAAAGATATTTATTATAAAATACAATACTGGGCATGGTTATTATGTGGACATTACTAACCCTATATCGATGATCTCTGTGAATACTTCCCAAAAAGCACTCCATGCACAAAACACAAGTTGGATCAACTGCACAGTCTCTGTAAAGTTAAAGAAAAAAAAAAATCAGAGTGTCAGAAAATAACTATATATTTCACAACAGAATTATTTCAAATTGGAATCCATCCTAAAAGAATGAAAATAGTGAAGTTTTTTGGTGTTTTAAAAAAGGAAGTATCATTCCCAAAGATCTGTCAGATCTTTTGATCAATGAAAGCAGTTTAAGGAACTGCTTCTCCATAACGGAGGTGTACATATTATTAGAACAGTAAATTTTAATGTAATGATGTGTTTTCCCATAGATTTGTGGAAATCACATTACACATTAAAACACATAGATGTATATGGAATAGATTCAAAATATTTATGAATTCTTAAGATTCATATATTGGAATTTCAAATAACTTCTTCCAAACAGGTATTTGAGACCAACGGTCTTCCAAGTGATATGTATGCATTCCTGGAAAGGCAAAAATATCAACTGAAATGTAAGAAGACAATATTTGAACTTACATTTCTACTTAAATTTTAACTAAAAAGGGAAATTAAACATTCTATGGGTTCACTGCACAGGAAGATATAGGTCTCCTCACGTGGCTCCTATTTCTGGTATTCGCACAACACATATGGCCCATGAGCTATTCTGACTGAAGAGTAAGGGTTTCAAAAGGTTGCTTGGGGTGCCCTGAGTTGTTTCATTTGCTTTCTTCATACTACCAGTTAGATACATTTATAGATCATATCTTAAGAGAATCTAGACAATTCCATGAAATGAAATGGGGATTGTAAAATAAGAAATCTATGTCGGTTCCTGCCCCTGGTTCCTGACACCAGCCTCCTAAAACTCTTGTAGATAAGGGTGTTAGCAGATGTGCTAAAATTTAGTCTTTAACCCTAGTTACAGACACAGAAATCCCCTGGGTGACACAACAGTCTTTTGTTCTTTTTATTGAGCCAGGCTGGAGGGCAGTGGCACGCTCATGGCTCATTGCAGCCTCAACTTCTTGGGCTCAAGCAATCCTCCCACCTCAGCCTCCCTGGTAGCTGGGAGTACAAGTACATGCCACTATGCTGGGCTCATTTCTGTATCTTTTGTAGAGATGGGGTTTTACCATGTTCCCAGATTGGTCTCCAACTCCTGGGCTCAAGCAATCCTCCTTCCTCAACCTCCCAAAGTGCTGAGATTACAAGTATCTGTAATCTCACTGTGCCTGGCCAAATCTTTTGTTCTAAAAGGCTGGGAGCCTCAAGACAGCTTTAGGATGGAAGCTGGTTGCCAAGGGAACCAAGCATATGATTAAAGGGTTGAAACTTTCAGCCCCACCCCCACTTCGGGGGACTGGTGAACTGATCGGCAGTGGCCGATGTAATCAATCACGGTTATGTAATGAAGTTTCCACAAAAATCCGAAAGGATTGGGTTGGAAGAGCTTCCAAATTTCTTTTTTGAGCGGAGTCTCACTGTCACCCAGGTTGGAGTGCAGTGACGTGATCTCAGCTCACTGCAGCCTCCGCCTCCCCTGTTCAAGTAATTCTCCTGCTTCAGTCTCCCGAGTAGCTGGGACTACAGATGTGTGCCACCATGCCCAGCTAATTTTTGTGTTTTCAGTATAGATGAGGTTTTGCCATGTTGGCCAGGCTGGTCTCGAACTCCTGGCCTCAAGTGACCTGCCTGCCTCGGCCTCCCAAAGTGCTGGCATTACAGGTATGGGCCACCGTGCCTGGCCTAATTCTCTTTTCTATTCCACTCATCTATGTCTATCCTTATGCCAGTACTATACAGATTAATTTGTAATTGTTCTGTCTGTACTTGAAAGAATACACATTCTCTTGGGGCAGAGTTCTCTAGATATTTGATAGCAAGTTTATTAATTTTATTGTTCAAATCTTAGATCACTCTGCTTTTTAATCTTCTTTATCACTTCCTGTGAGGAAGGTGTTAAAAGTCTTTAACTAGAATTGTTGATTTTTCCATTTCTCCCTGCAGTCCTACTAGTTATCACCTGATATATACCAAAGCTGTATACAGTCTACAGTTAGGTGCATAAACGTTCATTATGGATATTTTTTCTTTACCTACTGTTCTCTTTACCAGCATACAATGTCTATTTGTGTCTTTTATATGAAAACTGCTACTTTAATTTTCTTTTGTATCATATTATTTGCCTGGTATTTTTTTTCTTAACTGTTTCTCTTCCTACTTTCAATGACTTTCTATTTTAGTTTGCCTCTTATAGACAATATTTGTGGATGTTTAAATATCAATCTGAGAGTCACTGTCTTTTTGCTTTCATATAAAGAAAAGTAAAGCTAGAGCCTTGTCCTCATTTAGCCATCATTTAACAGAAAAGACAACTGTGTACAGTTACAGTATTGTTGACTACTGTATTAAAAGTATGTAGGGCCAAAGCCAGTGCATCTAGAGCACTCAAGGATCCCCGAGATCTTAGTGATTTGTCTAAAGTCATCATCTCCAAGCTTTTACAATCATATACCCTTTTATTAAAATGTTTTGAGTATGCAGTATCTATCTTTATGTAAATATATTCATATTACACATATATTATTTTATATAATATTAATACATGTACTAATTAGTTACTCAATTATACTGCTGTGTAACTGGAGTCTTAGGAATGGAACAAAGGCAGAAAAAATATCTGAAGAAATAATAACCTAAACTTACCAATTTGGTGGAAGATATCAGCTAAAAACAAACCTCAAGAGAATAAATACAAAAAAGATATTTAGGCCTATCATAGCCAAACTGTTAATATTAAAAAATAACAAGAAAATCTTCAAGGCTGCTAGAAAAAACCAACACATTTCACACAAGGTAACAAAGATATGCGAGTAACAGCTAACATCAACAAAACAACGGAGTTCAGAACACATTGGATCAAGATCTTTAAAATGTTGAAAAGGAAAAAAACCAGAAAACAGTCTATCCAGACTTAAATATTCAGGAAAAATATCCTTCAAAAATGAGTACAAACAATCTGAACAGGCCTATATCTAATAAAGAAATTGAGTCAATAACTAATAACTTTCACAACCAAAAGCACTAGGTTCGCATGGGTTCACTGGTGAATTCTATCAAATGGTTAAGGAAGAAATTACATTAATTCTATGCAATCTCTTCTCGAAGACAGAAGCAGAGGGAATACTTCCTAACTCATTCTATTAGGCCAGTATCACTCTAATGTCAAAATCAGACACAGACAATTCAAGAAAAATACAGACCAATCTGCTTCATGAAAATAACAAAGTATTAGCAAATTGAATCCAACAACGTATAAAAAGAATTCTACGCTATGACCAAGTAAAATTTATCCCATGTATGCTAGACTGGCTCAACATCTGAAAATCATGTACATCTATCACATTAACAGGCTAAAGAAGAAAAATTACACACAGAAAAGCATTTGATAGTCGGTACAGTGGCTCACACCTGTAATCCCAGCACTTTGAGAGGCTGAGGTGAGAGGATCGCTTGAAGCCAGGAGTTAGACCACTTGGGGCAACAAAGTAAGACTCCATCTCTGCAAAAATTTTTTATAAAAATTAGCTGGGTGTCGTGGTGCGCCTGTAGTCCCAGCTATGAGGCTGGAGGATCCCAAGTCCAGGCGTTTAAGGCTGCAGTGAGCTATGATCTCGCTACTGCACTCCAGCCTGGGCGACTCTAACTCTGTCTTTGGAACAAAAAAAAGGATTTGACAAAATGCAATGCCCATTCATAATAAAAACTCTCGGCAGAAGAGGAATATTGAGGGATATTTCTCAATTTGATAAGAAATATCTACAAAAAACCTACAGCTAACATCACTTAATGGCGAGAAATTTATGCTTGTTTACGCTTGTGAGGTGACTTGCGCAGGACCCCTAGACAGCCTCAGTATAGGGCCAGTTACCAGAAAGACCACGACCAAGAGGGCTGGAGCTTTCAGACTCACCCACCAAAATCTGGGAAGAGGGGAGGCGTGGGGCTGGAGATTAAGCTCTTTATTACAAAAACTCTTTTTTGTTGTTGTTGTTTTGTTTCTTGGGATAGGGTCTAGCTCTGTCACCCAGGCTGGAGTGCAGTGTGGCCTGATCACAGCTCACTGCAACCTTAAACTCCTGGGTTTGAGCAATCCTCCCACTTCAGCCTCCCAAGTAGCTGGAACTACAGGCTCAAGCCACTATACCTGGCTATTTTTCCTTTGTGGAGACAGCATCTTGGCATATTGCCCAGGCTAGTCTTAAACTTGTAGCTTCAAGTGATTCTCCTACCTCAGTTTTCCAAAGTGCTGGGATTAGAGGCATAAGCCACCATGCCTGGCCCCTATAAAAATTCAACAAGGTTTAATGAATTTCCAAGTTGCTGGAACTTCACCCTGGGACTGAGGTGCTAGGAGGGTGGTATGCCCAGAGAGGGCATGGAAGCTCCTCACCCTTTCTCCCACACCTTGCTCTATTAAGTCTCTTCCATCTGGCTGTTCTTCTGTATCCTTTATAATATCTGTAAGCTATCCTAGCAACTTAATCCAATCCAAGGAAGAGCTAATGGAGACCCCAATACATAGCCAGTCAATCAGCAGTATAGGTAACCACTAATTGCAACTGGTGTCGAAAGTAGGGGGCAGACTTGTGAGACTGAGCTCTTAGCCTTTGGATTCTGACAACACTAGGTAGACAGAGTCAGAGTTGAACTGAATTAAATCGTAAGATATCCAGCCAGAATTCAGAGTTGGAGAAATCCTTAGAGTAAAAAACCTCACATACCTGGTGTCAGAAGTGTTGCATGAGAATGTAGAGAAAGAGTATGTTTTTCCCAGAATAAAAAAAGGGAGAAAAAATAAGTGCAAAATAAAAACATTTTCAGATGAGATCGGGCACATTCAGGGTGGTATGGCCATAGACAACAAAAACATTTTCAGATAAACATAAACTGAGATAACTAATAATTAGTATCCACAGTAAAAGTCAACAACAATGGTCCATAGCCTCTGGTTCAACCTGCAACATAAGAATGATTTTTACATGTTTAAACAGCTATTTAA